AAATTCACCCTTCCACTACAAATCAAGTGCAAGGGAATTCAGATGCACGAGAATGAATTCCCTGACCAAAGCCCTTACTCAATAGTAAAAAAGAAGTAATGATGAACCTTCCTCGACTCAGGGTTCAATGGGCCCTTCAACAAAGTTATGGTGAGAACCCCCTTCGACACTCGCAAGCTCATGAGTTTCGCGAGGAAAGTTCTCCCCGTCACATGAACTTCATCATGAATTCATGAGTTTCGCGGGGAAAAGCCTCCCTGTCACATGGACTTCATCATGAATTCATGAGTTTCGCAGGGAAAAGCATCCCTGTCGCATGAACTTCATCATGAATTCATATGTTTAGTGAAGAAAAACCTCCCCGTCACATGAACTTCATCATGAATCCATGGGCTTCACGGGGAAGAGCCTCCCCGTCACATGAATTTCACCAAAAATCAAACATATCCTAAATTTTCTTAATATAAGACACACATAGCCAAGAAAAAACAACCTAAAAGTCTAAAAACGACGTATAAAGGAAACCAAAAGGAGAGAAAACTTACTAGGTTAAGAAGAAAAATGGGGACTGGTGGAGTTCTGGCGGCGAGAACGGCGGAAGAATGCTCTGAGAATTGGAGTACTAGAGAAGAGCAGTTAAAGTTGGCAGGAGCAAAGTTGCGAATCTCACCCATTTGCACATTATTTATAACCAAATCCCCTTGCACGGGAAACATGACAGCACATGAGAAGGTGTGTCATCGAAACGACGCATCATTATCCATACCCCTAGGTCGTCATAACCCTGCGCTTATCCCATCATTACGCATTAAATACTATGACGCATGGCTAAAGGAACAAATCTTTTATCTTCCCAAGACCCTCAAACTTTATCGGGCGCATCCCTGGGGGAACAACAAGGAGAAGTTACGGGCATCATGATAATTCACGAGCTGGGACGAATTACAATATGGGGCACGAGCATATGAAACTTCCGACTACAACACCTATGTGTTATCTCGCCCACGCAGATGAGACAATACTGGCCACGGGAAAAATACCTTACTCGTATGCGCTAGCCCACAAATGAAAATTGCCTAAGGCAAACATCGCCAACACAGACATATAAACACACGCACAAACGAAGGTCCACCTCGCACAAGTCCTTTAGATCTTCCTTGACACACAAGCTAACTCTGAGTTATTGCTCTTTCACCTAGGAGCAACAAATTGTGGGGCTCCTATTCTGGTATAGGCTCGGATACGGCCCAACATCGGGCACAACCCAACCTCGCCCATTGCATCTGCAGTGGCCCAGATGATGGTCAAATCCTGTGGGGTCTAAGCTGGAGACGTGTCATTCACGTGCTCCGCACTCTTCGGAGCCGTTATGCCCCTCGTAACGGATGTGGTCAGCCCACTACCCGCTAAATCCACATAGCACTTGACCCAGGATGATGGGCACGTGTTGTTCATCCTCACTACCACGTGAGAATCTTGGCAGCCATCCATTATGGACTTGGATACTCAACCCATAATGGAGGCCATTAGCTCAGCATTGGGGGCTCTATAAATACTCTCTTATGTGAGAAAGTCAGGCATCTCATTCACAACTCTCATACTCACTTATCTCTCATTCTTTCTGACTATAGCATCAGAGTGCCTTACAGGTCACCCACCCCTCCGAGGAGCATCCAGACCAACAGACAATTGGACCGACCACACACACATCTCTTTTTGATCCAGGTACAATAAAAAAGCTTGTCCAAATCAATGCCATTTTGCTTGCAAAATTTAAACCAAGTTTTTCCATACAAACAATACAAACCAGTCCAAGTAAAAGTGTAAACTAGTTGCATCTAAAGGAGAAAAACTGATTTGCAAGCATGCACAAACCGGTTCACTATAATGCCTTGAACCAACATAAAACCCGCACCTATTATGCCTTGAACCTTTCCAAAACTATCCAAAATAGAAAATCAAAATGAAGGATAAAGCTTGTTCAGCAAGATACTTATGCCAGCTCGTTATACATACCTGAAATACAAACTAAGCGTCGTGGATCCAAGCCTGAATTTCAGCTGTAATCGAACCTGAAACAAAAGAGAAATTTCATTTCTAACTAACTCAAAACCAAAAAATAACAAACTCCAAAGCTAATTGGCCCCCCAAAGCTAGCTCCAGACCTCATTAATCTCCAAACCTAGCCTCTATATAAACTTTCTCCCTCCAAATTCACCATTTAAGGTCACAATTTTTAGAAAATTCACAAACTCTCTCTCTCTCTCTCTCTCTCTCTCTCTCTCTCTCTCTCTCTCTCTCTCTCTCTCTCTCTCTCTCTCTCTCTCACACACACACACACACACACGCACGCACGCACGCACGCACACATACACACACACACTTTTCTTCTTTGATTCTCAATCTCTCTCCATTTTCTCTGAAGTTTCTCATCACAATCTTCATCTATAAGCTACACAGAAGCTTCTGCGCGTAATTAAAGGTATTAATCACTCTCTATTTACTTTGCTCAACCGAATTTTATCACAAAGCAAATAAAGTTTGATTGAGCACTACAGAAGAGTTCAAGCGAAATTAAAGTAATATTCACATACTTGAATATTCCCTGAAGCTTTTCTCATCGATTTGTGATCGTTTCTTCCATTGAAAAGGTGCATCAGACATACTCTAATAGGTAACTCTTGGAACTCGTAGTTCTTCATCATTTAAGCATCATTTTGCATTAAACTTGTTATCGTTGTGTGCGTCCTTACTTGCTAATGGATACCCCTATAATTTGGAGCTTTAACTCTTTACCGTTGGAATTTAATTTTGATTTGAAATAGTTAGGGTTTGTGTATATTTCAGTGATTATGTGAGTTTGAGGAAGAATTAGAAGAAGGTGGTAGCATTCTAGAATCAGCGTGAAGAGAAGATTGAGATGGTGTAGGCGTTTTTCATTTTGGGTACTGGAGTCCCCGTCGCCGCTGCCACGTGGCGCGCATGAGCAGTGACGAATTGAACGGAGTAAATGAAGTAGCTTTGGCACGAGAGGGAAGAGTATTTTCAAATATTTGAGCACATGACCAAACGCACCGTTTTGGTTTTCTTTTAATTTTTGTTTTATTTTTTATTTTAATAATAATCAAATAAAATTAGAAAAATATTTTGATTGAAACTGGACTTGCGATATTGTTTTGCACATGGACCTTGGTTACGAATTGCTTGCTCACACCCCCAGTCTGAGTCCAACGCACCTTTTTGTTACTCTGATTTGCTTTTTTTGGACACAAGCGCCTCCCGGATCACTTGGATTAAGCCTGGTCTGTTTACTTCATCCAAACACCCTTATCTTCCGGTGCACCTCTCAGTTTCATTATTTTGTTTTCTTTTCTTTTTTCTTTTAATTGTTTTTCTTTTATTTTTCTTTTATGATTTTAATACTTTTGAAATGATAAAGAATATTAGAAACGCATGATATTTTAAGATATTATCTTTAGCATTTTAACATTTTAATTGTTTTTGTGACTTTATTTTCATTTCTTTTGTGTTGATGTTTGATTCAAATTTATGTCATGATCTTGATGAAATCTCTTGATGACTTTTTTGTGCTCTTGATGATGCTTGATAAAAATGGAGCATTTTAACCTTTGAACCAACGCTTTGTATTCAAAGCCTAATCTTATTAATTTAAATTGTTTGTTAAGTGACCATTCGTAGTATGTAGAGATTGAAAGGTGCGAGGAGTGCGTTGTTAAAGCCTAATCTTGTTACTAATTTAATATGTTTGTTAAATGGCTCTTCGTGGTTTGGAGAGATTAAAAGGTGCAAGGAGTGTGTTGTTGGGTATAGAGGGGGATGGATTTTTGTTCTAATTGGTTTCAACTATTGTTTAATTAAATATTACTCCTTCTAACGTCAATGTTCCTATCATTGTTCGCTTTAAGTGTTATAATCCATCACAGTTGTCATCTGAAAAAACGACTCATTGGATTTCAAGAGTGTAAGTTATGTAAATTACCAATGGACTTGATTCTTCAAAAATGTGAATTTTTTTGGGGTACGGAACCACTAATAATAGACTAGAATAATTTCCTAATTTCCTTATCTAAAGACTTGAAGATGTTCCAATACTTCTTAAAAGTAGTGAAGAAAGAAATAAATGAAAGTCAAGTTGGACCAGATAATAAGGGTGTGATGAGATTGATGGTGACCATAACTGAATTTGGAAGAATTAATTTTAATAAAATTAAATTTAGTATAATTGATTTATGTTTAAATATATTTATGTAAAAATGAGTTGAACAATAAACTACAGTGTAAAAATTATTAATAATTAATTCTAGAAGTAAAAGCTACAAATTTTTGCTTCAATTAAAATCAATTCTATTTTTCAATTTTGAGTCTTGCAAAAGTCAATCCAAACATGTTATAATACTTGTGGATTTTATAAACCAATTCAATCTACATTTCAAATAACCAAACATTTCCTAACATTCATAGTCATACATCCTGATTTTCTATATTCTGATCTCAACTGAGAAAACAAAGCTTTGTGTACTTTACTTGTCTTTCATTGCATGTTCCCAAAATATACAGAGAAGAAAAGTGCCATCACATTGAGAGGCTCGTAGTTACTAGTAGGAAGTTAAACCATTTTCAGTCTCATCTATCTAACTGTTAGTACAAAGCTTCAACTTAGTTTTCATCCATTCAAACACTTAACTATAACAGCTTTCTATCAAAATTCACATTAGGAAAATAAAGCAACGCTATTTCCAACTATTCTCAAAATTCACAAAACCATGATTAATAAAATTTTCAGCCTATCAGAAATGATTTGAATGATGCGGTAAATTATCAACTATTCAAACATTTATCATCAGCACATAAAACAACACGAATTAACACCAATTAGGTCAAATAAAATCCATATTATTATTGCAAAAACCATAACCAAAAAAGTGCATCAACCTAAACCGATTGAAAAAACAAGAAACTCACGTTACAACCGAAAATTTTCAGAGAACTTCAAGGATATCATCAGCACCACTGAAAGTAAAAGCACCACCTTCCTCCAAATTGAAAAGCTTCACAACCCCATCTTCCGCCAACAAAGCATACCGTCTTGACCTAACCCCCAATCCAACAGGCTTATCACTCAAATCAAGCTCACACCCAATCGCCTTCGTGAAATCGCCATTTCCGTCTGACAGAAGAAGAACCTCATCGTTCACCTTCAAATCCTCCTTCCACGCATTCATCACGAAAGCATCGTTCACAGAAATGCACGCGATGGTGTCGACGCCTTTCGCTTTGAGCTCGGCTGATTTCTCCACGAATCCGGGAACGTGTTTCTGGGAGCAGGTGGGCGTGAAGGCGCCCGGAACGGCGAAGAGGACGGCCTTTTTGCCTTTTGTTAGGTCGGAAACGGTTATGGTTTGGACGTCGCCGGCGGAGTCGAGGAAAGAGAAGGTGGATTCGGGGAGCTTGTCGCCGACGGAGATTGTGGCGGAGATTTTTGGGGATGAGGAGAATCGGAGGGGTTTTGGGTGGAGGCGGTTGAGTTTGAGAGGGAGGGTGAAGGTGGAAGATAGGGTTTTGATTTTGGGAGATAAGAGGGATGTGGTGGTGGAAGATGAGAGGAGTCTGGAGAAAGTGAGAGAGGTTGCCATTGTTGTTTGGGAAGAGCAGTGAGAGAGTGAAGAGAAGGTGTTTGTGAAATTGATTGAACGAAAAGATCAAGATGAATCTTGTTACCTCAGCCTCACCACAAAACTAGGTTACTGTTATGACAGGTAGCACCATCTCAACAAAACATCTCATTTTGTGTTTATTTACTACCGCATTTACTTCGGACAAAATATTAAATAATTTATAATTTATAGTCAAATAAATTGAAATCGTGTCAAAAAATGATATAAATTAAGTTTAAATATAATAAGTAAAGGTATTAATGAAAGAAATTAACAAATGATCATTAATTTATAAAAAAAACAAATAATTTAAGATACATAGTATTAGGGTGGCAAAATGGATTGGGTCCGCCGGATTGGCCTGTTTGACCCGTCATTTTTTATGGACTGTGTTGAGTTTTTCGGTTCGGTACTTTAAGTTAGTTCGTTCCATCCACTTAAAAAAACGGGACGGATCGGGTTTTCTCTGCGGATTTTTTTGTTAAAATTTTTACTCTTTTTATTAAGAATTAGAACAACTTTAACTATAAAGACAATATTTATCTCTTAGAATTCTATTATAAATTACTATACAAATAAATTAAATTATAATAGTAACATTCTTTCTATAATTTTCTAATACATACGTTGATTGAAAATGATTGAAATAAAAGAATAAATGTATGACATGCATAATTATTAAGTTTTCAATATATTAGTTCAGATATTATTTTTTAAGAAATAAATATTGATTTTAAGAAAAAAAGAATTTTATTAGTGTATATATGACAAATTTAGGATTTAATTATTAAAAAATCGGTCAATATATAAATCTATATAATATAAACAGTGAGAAATTTCGGTGTTAATATTTTACGCATTACTATTTTATGCATTTTGATGTTTTATGCAATGTTATTGTTATCATTGTTTGTTTTGTGTAAATTCTAAATTGAGTTTTTTTAGTAGTTAGTTTTTAAATAAGATTAGAAAGATATATATTATTTATTTATTTTGATATTTTTTTATTGTATTTGAATTTTTTTTGTTGTAATTGATTTTTATTTATTAAATTTTTTGAATTGTTTGGACTTAAGATATTTTGAAATTTTATTATGTATTATTAAAAAAATTTCTTTATCAACTTTTTTGATAATAATTAAAAAAATTTAAATTATGTATTAAAACAAATTGTAAAAAAAAAAAAAAAAAATTAGCAGGCCGGTCCGCCAATTGATCAATTCATTAATAAATAGGACAAATTTGACTTTTAAACTCATACCCCTATGTTGATCTGTCCTGTCCCGCTCGACTTTTGAATAGACTTAAACGAGACAGACCTAAATGAGACATGTAACCCATTTTACCACCCATACATAATATTGTAAAATAACATCTAATATTAAAAAACAATTAACTTTTTAAATTTATTAAATAATAATATATTTAATCAATTTATAGACGTAATATATTAATTATTAAATAAACTTAAAAAATAAGTCTTCTTTTTTATAAAAAGAAATGAGAAGGTAGTATAAAATAGAACGAGTATAATTTTATGATAAATTTATTGTTTAAAAATGTTTTTTATTTAAAGTTTGACTTTTATATAAATAAATATATTTAATATTTTATAATTATCTGTAAAAACATATTTGTTAGAGTTTAAAGGTAGTGGATACATATAATCAATAATAAGTATTTTTAAAATAAAAATAAAATTTAATTAAATATATATATCTTATTAGTTGATAATATAAAATTTTTATACTATCAATACATTTATTTTATTTTATTTGTTAAAGTATTAAAAAATGGAATATTTTAATTTATACATTCTTATATTTTTCAGACAAAATATAAAATAATTTTAATAAGTATTTTGAAAATAATTTAAAATTTTCAATTAAATAAATAATTTAAAGTTGTGTCAAAAAATTATTTTTTATAGTTTTAAATATAATCAGAAATTTATTTTACAAATATTATCTATATTTGAGATCATAAAGAGTATTTTTTTTATGTTTTTTACTTTTCAATAATGACTAAAAGAGACAATTTAAAGTTCATTCTTTTAATGTGAAATTTCAATTTCAACTTTGCATCATAAAATATTATATCTTTATTAAATTAATTTTACAAATATATTAAAAATAATCTATAAATAATAATTTAAGGATACAATTAAAAAGTAATAATAATTTATATATTAAAAATAAAAATAATATTTATTTTAAAATAGATTTTATTTATTAAAACCACATTATTTTAAAACAAATAAAATATTTATTTATTTAATTGATGAAAATTAAATGATTGTGTTTGTTTGATGGAAAAAAGATAATCTCTTATAGTCAATTACGATTATGTATTAAATTAAAAAAATTAATTTATTGACATAGCATAATGATGGAGTATATTCTCAATAAATTGATTGATATTTTGAAAAACATTGTTAGGCTAGAGATTAGTACTATGTAGGTAGGAAGAAGACAAATACATTAGGTGGTCCGTGGAAATAGATGAATCCAATAGTAGCCGTTGATATTTTCACCCTCCTTGTAATTCTCGTCATGGACCCTGCCTACGTGGAAGACTCCCCGCCATATTGTTCGAACCGATTGAGCATTAACTTCCAAATTAGATTTTGTTTTTCTAGAAATGTGTGAATAATTTCTTAAGAGCAGTGTTATTTTAACTCCAAAAATAAATATTGACATTATATTTCATTATATATAAACAATAATATTTTATTAATAATTAATTATGTCATAAGCAAAAGAAAAATGAGATTAAAATGATAATAAAAATTATTGTCTACAGATTATATAAACATACAATAGGATATTTAAAAATATTCAAATAACATTTCTTTAAATTTCATGTAAAAAAATATAATTGTCATTTTTGTTCTTGTAAGAAAAATTGTTGAACAGTTCAATGATATATATTCTTTAGTACCCATAAATCTAAATGTAAGTTAGATATGAGTACCCTTTAGTGCAAATTTTAATTTGGTTCTGGGGTACTGTTCTGGATTGGACATGTCTTTGACTCAATTATCAGTGAGATTAAATTCAAGTTTGTCAACCTGCTATGTTGAGCAGTATATCCACCGAATACACCCCGATCATAGGTATCTGGTCAGTTATGATTGCTTCCCGTCGGTGCTCGCGAAGAACGTCCTCGACGAGCATGCGCTTCCTCCGAGCACCTTCCTCGTAGGGCTGACTTTCAACCTTTCTGGATTTCGCGGAGTCTTTATGGTCCCGGAAAGATCGCTTCTTTATCCTCTCTGTCTTGCGGAGGACGTCATCCAGGTAGGGGGCCACGTGCGGGTCCCTACTACACACGTAGAACCTGACAGTCTCTTTGTGGGGCCTGTTTGATCAGTCCAATAAAGAGACATTGGCTCAACGTTGGGGGCTATAAATACCCTCTCTTTCGAGAAGGTCAGATATTCAGTCATTCACACCTAAACTCATACTTGCTTGCTCATTCTGCCTCTCACTTTGCCATCAGAGTGTCTTGCAGGTACCCCCATCTCATTCAAACTCAGCTCGAAGCCAGATGTAATGGTCCAACTCTGATCAGGTCAGATCAGTGGCGCCGTCTGTGGGAACCTAAGTTTCCCCGTCTTCTCTTCATTTAAAAGACCAAAGCTAAAATCATCCTCAACAATCATGGTTGATCAGACTCAGGACAACCAGAACGTCCGTGTCATCGATGTTAACAACAACATCACCGATAACAATGTCGGCCTCGACAACATCGGTACCGCTGGCCATAACACGGTCCCTGGCGTCAACATGCCCGGACCTTCTAACTACAGGGACGGAGCCACAACTTCTTCTTCATCAATCCCTCCTCGACTTGAAGAAGACCGACCACCTCCCCTGAACTATCCACCCGTCCAATTTCACGAGGTCCCCGTCCCCGCCGGGGCAGACGCCACGACCAGGGCATTGTTCACGTCGATCAACCAAACCAACTATCTCATCTTCACCCAGGGGGAAAGACTGAGAGTACTCGAGGACGATCGAAGGCCCCCGAGAAGACACAAGAGGCTTCAATATCCTCCCCCTCGACAAGCGAACGAACGTCCCCAATCTCCCCCGCAGAGACAGAATCGAGATATCTCTAGAAGCCCGTTACCCCGACCACTTAGGCGACGACCCCCTTTGGAGAGGGAACCGCTCGTCGACTTGGGAAGGCGTGACTATGGCCCCTCGCGGCAAGAACGAAGACCCCCAGAGACATACACGGGGGAAACCATCAACGGTCACACCTCCCGAGGAACGCTCTGCGCGACCAGGGCCACCATGACCGCCACTACATCGGATCCCCATCCCGCTCTCCAGAACGGAGTGAAGAGGACGACCCCCGCGGTCCCTTGTCACAAGCTATCATGGAGGCGCCCATTCCCCCTGGCATGGAGAAGCCTCCCCACTTAAAGGAGTACGACGACATCGCCGACCCGGTCGACCATATAGACGGGTTCGAAGCCATGCTGCACTACCACAACGTCAGGGGACCAATCAAATGTCGGTTTTTCCCCACAACTCTGAGGAAAGCGGCTATGGACTGGTACAAAGGTCTCACCCCGTGGTCAATTACCTCTTGGCGAAACCTGAAGAACCAGTTCATCAGCTCGTTCATTGCTTCACGACGACACTCGAAGACCGAAGCAGCGCTCGAGGCCATCATCCAGAAGCACGATGAGACCTTGAGAGTTCATTAACCGCTTCAACCGGAAAGCCATCCAGGTCCCCTGCATGGACCATATGAAGAGATACCTGCTAGAGAGGGGGATCCTCCCTGGCACAGAATTCAGAAAAGTCGTGGGCATCGAACCACCCCGGACGTTTGACGCCCTCCTCGAAAAGGCCATGGCCTACATGGACTACAAGGAGAGAGAAGCGGCCAATAGAGCCCGAGACCCCAGAAACCACGGATCCAGCAGTAATCCACGACAAGACATCGCCCCTCCTCGACGAACT